AATAATAATAATAGTTATAATAATAATAATAATAGTATTAAACCAATGTCATGATGAAATTAGAGATTAGGATAGGATTGCATCAATGTTTATGGGTGGAATTGAAGCCTTATGGTTGGGAGGATGGTTAGTAGATGAAAAAATAAGATATTTGTAATATTTATATTATATATTTTGTATATAAATTAACTAGCTTACCTTAGAAGAAAATAAAGGGAGTTAGAAGCAAAGTATAATTTCTAGTGAGCTATTTTATAAGAGTGAAAGGAAAAGAGAAAGAGAAAGAAGCTTGGACCGGTGTAGGCGATTTTACCCGAATACGCGCAGACCGGCGGATTTATTTTAAATCCAAAAAGGCAAGTTATTATCTACTTTTCCCCTTTGAATTAATAAATTAATTGTTTAGCTTATTTTTATGCATAGAGCCAAGGGTTGGAGGTTAATAAATTATTAATTTTATTTTATTAAATTCATGGAATTTTAATTATATAGGATGGTATATATTTATTTAATGTCCTATGAAATTAATAATGGCTAAAAATAATTAAATAGGACTTTAGGGATTTTTCTAGAATTTTCTAGATTTTTCCGGGCATTTTCTGCAATTTCCGGCGACCTTCCGGCGAGTTTTCCGGTCGCCGGCAGTGGGGGAGACGACCGGAGTGATCCGGTGCGACGCGGCGCACCATAGGAGGGTGTACGCGCGCATCCTGGCCATTAATGGAGTCTGATTGATCCGGTGCATCGCGGTCCATGATACCGCGGTACACCCGGATCAGGGAACGCTGGATGGAGGAGATGCAGGTGGATTGATCCGGTGTGGCGCGCATGCAGGAAAGCTGATGCAGCCAACCAACCGGAGGACGCCGCGTCAGCAAGGCACCCTTAGTGCGCGCGTGGCAGGCGCGTGACTGATGCCAGACGCGCGTGGGAGCGCGTGCAGGCGCGTGACTGATGCCAGACGCGCGTGGAGGCGCGTGGGAGAGTGGGGAAAGCTTGGCTGCGCGTGGGGAGGCTCTGGGAGGCGCGTGAGGGCGCGTGTGGGGTCCCTACAGCTGCTGGAAATTTCCAGAATACCCCTAGGGCCTGTTTTGTAAATTCCAGAATCTTAAACTTGGATTTTTAGGTACTGTGTTGGTATTTACGGGTTTAACGGGCCACGAAATTATTATTTTAACACCCGTTACTTATTCTTATGACCGATTAATCTTTTCTAAGCATTTATTGGCTCGTTCACAGCACAGATACTAATGTGATTTATTTAACGACATTGTTAAATATAAATAGTGTTATTATCGTATTAAATGGTATCAAACATTACTGTTAAATTAAATAAGGCCATGGTTTTAGTCAGATAAATTATCCAGAATATCTTATGGGATGTTTATACTGTTAATTGATATATAAACCATGATTATTATGCTGTGTGCATTTCAGGGAATAAATGGACTGTTTATTATGTCGCATTTATATTGTATGGATGTGTTGCCATATAGAACCATGTGAGCTGGCTAATAAGTTTAGACTCATTTATACCTTATGCATTCGTTGCGATAGACAGATGTGTGGCTGTCGGGGTATGTGGTTTAATATTATTGGCATGTGTTGCCTAATTGACATACTCGGTATATTTCTTAATATTGTTGGCATGTGTTGCCTAATTTATATGCTCAGTATATTCATCAGTACTTTGCGAGGTGTTATCACTGTGTAGTTCGTTATAGTCTGTGTTGTCAGTACCGTGCACCATGTATAATAGTTGATTTCCCGGGTAGGGAAAGGCGACACTTAACCACCTAGTGTGAGTCTAAGTGATCACCGTCTATTCTGGTTGAGGTCATGTTATACATCGGATAGTTCCCATAGGATGTATACAGATATAGTACTCATCCGATTCATAATGATTAATTTATTTGATTCTCTGATTTGGGTCATAGTAGAGAGGACTTGCTCGTGGGGTTGACCCACCATTGTTGTTATTTCAGGATACGGTCAGTATCCGTTTCAAGGCTGAGGTTAGCAGTGTGGGACCATCATCCGAACTCATCTACTCTTACGATCCAGTGCAGGGTAGAAGTTTTATGTAATACTTCAGTTTCAGTTTTTAATTACTTTTGACGTTGAACTCTCAGGGTTATATTTAGGGATCCCTGACGTAGGATTTCCAAGTTGTAATGAAGTACTGTATGAAATAAAGGATGGATGGATGTTGTATTATTTAATGTTCCTTTCCTGTCTAAATTCTTTTATTTCCATCATTTTGTATTCCATGCTTGTATATTGCCAATTGTTTTTGATATCCCTCGTTTTTCGTGTATAAGCCTGATCAACTTATGCGGGGAAAATGTGGGGGTGTTACAATCCTTATACGGATTGAAACAATCCGGACGCATGTGGTATAATTGACTCAAAGAATATTTACTAAAAGAAGTATATTTGAATAATCAAGTTTGTCCCTACATTTTCATCAAGAAATCAAAATTTGGATTTGCCATTATAGCTGTATATGTTGACGATCTAAATCTTGTGGGAACTCCTGAAGATCTCACCACGACTGCTAATTATTTAAAGAAAGAATTCGAAATGAAAGATCTTAGTAGAACAAAATTTTGTCTCGGCCTACAGATCGAATATTTACCAAGTGGAATTATTATCTATTAGTTAACATATACTGAAAAAGTCCTGAAGCGCTTTTATATTGATAAAGCTCGTCCTTTGAGTTCTCCAATGATTGTCCGATCACTTGATGTTAAGAAAGATTCTTTTCGTCCTCAAGAAGAAGGTGAAGAAGTTCTTGGTCCTGAAGTACCATATCTTAGTGCAATCGGTGCTCTAATGTACCTTATGAATTGTACCAAACTTGATATAACATTTGCAGCCAACTTACTAGCACGGTATAGTTCTGTACCAACTCGAAGACATTAGAATGGGGTCAAACACATTATGCGTTACCTTCGGGGAACGACTGATATAGGGTTGTTTTATTCAAGAAAATCAAAGCCCCAAGTTGATCAGATATGCAGATGCAGGTTATCTTTCTGACCCATATACAGCCCGATCACAAACAGGGTACTTGTTTACTTGTGGTGATACTACTATATCATGGCAATCTATGAAACAGACCATGACTGCAACTTCCTCAAATCACTCTGAGATACTCGCAATTCATGAAGCAGATAGAGAGTGTGTTTGGTTGAGATCTGTTATACAACATATTCGAGAATCATGTGGACTCTCCTCAATTAAAGGTAGTCTAACAATATTATATGAAGATAATATAACATGTATTGCACAGGTAAGAGGAGGATACATAAAAAGTAATAGAACCAAGCACATTTCACCAAAATTCTTTTCCACACATAAGTTCCAGAAGAGCCGTGATATTGATGTTCAGCAGATATGCTCGAGTGATAATCTAGCAGATTTATTCACTAAAGCGCTTCCAACTACAACATTCAAGAAGTTAGTGGACAACATTGGAATGCGTCAACTAAAGGATCTTCAGGGTTGAACTAATGAGGAGGAGCAAGTGATCGAAAAGGTACTGGCATACTGTACTCTTTTTCCTTCGCTATGGTTTTTCCCACTGGGTTTTCCTAGTAAGGTTTTAATGAGACAGTTTTAATCTATGCAATACCATACACAAGAATACTGTACTCTTTTTCCTTCACTAGGATTTTGTCCCATTGGGTTTTCCTTAGTAAGGTTTTAACGAGTCGTATTCTTAGTGTAGTAGTGTGGACCCCAGGGGGGAGTGTTATATATATTTGTTTGTGGGGCTTACAATCTTAAGTCATCAACGATGACATTATTGGCTTACGGAGAAAGCTCAATTCTTGCTTACAGTGAAAGCCTTATTATGGCTTGTTTGGGAAGCTAAAGTTTTGAGCCTATAAATAGGCCATATGTATATACAGCTTGTAAGTACACACTTGAATAAAAGCTTTCCACTCTCTCTCTCTCTCTTTCTCTATGAAAGATTTATTTCTCTGAATATTACTCTATATATACATATATATTGATTACAAATCTTACCTTTTTCGTTTGCTTTCGATATAAATATTTTTTTCCAGAAAATATTTCTTTTTTTCAAGTAAAATATTGAGCTTGTGAAATAACTTATCGAAAATTGATAAATAAGTTATTTTTATTAGGTTTTAATTTTTTTTTTCATTCGTAAATATTTTACGACAACCAAACACCAAAAAATAAAAATAAAAATTCTAAAAAATATTTTACATCCAAACGAGCGCTAACCTAAATGTTTTCTTACTGTTACATTTGATTCAGTTTCATTGATTTTATTGTTCGATTTGTTTTCATTTTTATTTTAGAACCATTAAGAATGTTTTGGCTTCAAAATGGATCCAATCCAATTCATGTCCTCCGTTTGTTTGGATGAAAAATATTTTTCATTAATTTTTTTTTTGCTTTTTTTTTTTTGTGTGTTTGACAAATGTTTAGGTTGAGATTGTGGTCGAATTCACCGGTCGGGGGGCATGTTGAAAATTGATGGATTAATTATTTTTGTTAGATTTTAATATATTTTTTCTACCTAAATATTTTACTACAACCAAACACTATAAAATGAAAAAAATATTTTACATCCAAACAAAGCCCAAACCGAACTTTATTCTCACTGTTTCATTTGATTCAGTTTCATTGATTTTATTATTCGATTTGTTTTTTAAATCTTTTTTAGAACCATTACTACTGCTTTAACTCCAGAATGGATCCAATCTCCCCTCCTAAAATTCTATTTATTTGGATGTAAAGTATTTTTCATTAATTTAATGATAAAATTCGTTTTTAATTTTGTTAGAACCATTATAGCTGCCTTGGATTAAAAATGGATCCAATCCAAACAATCTCCACCCCTAATATTACACATGATATATTTCAATTTTCTGGTAATTAACTGAACACAATAGAGAAAGGAAGCCTACTATATCATAACGCGCGCGCGCGCGCACACACACTCTCTCTCTCTCTCTCTCTCTCTTCCTCTGTCTCACCAAACTGTTCCTACGCGGGCGCAATTTAAGAACCGAAAAAAACTGTATGAAACGCATCAGTTAGTCGCACAAACTTCATGAATTCTTCATAAAGTCGTCCTTAATTACAACCCATCCTTACACACACACTTTAAATAACACCACATGCTCTTACACCAAATAACCTCCACCCTTTTCTCTGCTCTTTTTTCTCTCACAAAATTAATGTCCCCTGTTGCCCCCTTTTTTCCTGGAAAATCTCTGCCGGAAAATTCTCCATTTCAATGACAACTTCCATTTTTGGATTAGTGTCCCGACAACTTCTTCCATGTTTGGCAAATCTTCACATGGTAAGGAACACACCCACCTCATTTATGATCTGGTTGAGAACTACTTTTTCCTTTTTTTCAAAAAAATATTTTTTGGGTTTATTCTAAATCTTTCCATTCCTGTTCAAATTGAAATATCTTCATATTTGAATAGTACCCATTTGGTGAATGAAGAATTTAAATTGTTTTTCCCTGAATTGGCACTAATCTTTGTGAATGGGATACACAAAATGGCTTTTTTGGTTGAAGAAGCACTTCTGAATCAAATATAGCCTTTGTTTTTTTGGTGAAATACCAACCCTAACCATTCACATTGTGGAATGCTAGTTCAGAAGAGCCTAGGTTTCACCAATTGGAGGAAATTGAGTTTGTTTCATTTGAAAATTGTTTGAATAAACAACATTTGTATTCAATTAGAGACAAATTTAGGTGAAAATGAAATCGAGGGAAATGAAAATGGGGGACCTCAAGGATGCTGCCACTTTGCTTAGAGCAAGCCATTCTAGGTTTTTGCCACTAAGAATCCTGCAGTCCCTATTGATGTTTTTGGGTGCAAGTATTGTATTTTCAATCGGTAGTATGTATATGATCCGGTATTTCGGAGAACAGAATGTAGTCGTCCCATTCGTACAGACCAGTGTGCAGACATGTATTGAAGAGGCAAATACCATAAAGAAATGGATTAGGCCTCCAACAAGCTTGAAGCACACCATGAATGACGCGGAACTATATTGGAGGGCCTCATTTGCTCCTCGGAGGAAAGCTTATCCATTTAAGAGAACTGGCAAAATTGCATTCATGTTCTTGACTAGGGGACCATTGCCACTGGCACCTCTTTGGGATAGGTTCTTCAAGGGACACAATGGGCATTATTCAGTCTACATTCATTCGCTTCCATCTTATATTCCAGATTTTCCACCTTCGTCTGCTTTCTATGGGAGGCAAATTCCTAGTCAGGTATCAGCAATAATCATCATCTTCCCTTTTTCTTTCAAATTTCATGCAATTGAATGTTCTATAAGTTATTGTTTTATGTATGCAGTTTCAAATTTTTACTGCTTATCATGTTCATTTTATTTTTATTTTTTTTAGTGGAATGCTTTTTCGTGCCTAATCTTTTCATCTAATGTAGAACAAGGAAGTTGTTTTAGATAATTTTGATCATATGTTGTCATTTCTATGCATACATCTTAATTTAGAATGGGGAAGCTGTTTAATTTGTACAGGAATAAACAAAACATTTCTTTGGTGGTTGTGAGCTACATGGATATAGGAATAGATCCTAGAGGATTATGAATTGTGTTTGTGAGCAACAACATTTGTTTTCAAATAAAAGGAGTCCCAGAAAACCAAACCGAACTTATGATAATTATGATGCAAACTGTGTATGCCACGCCCGTGAGTCCAAATTTCAATACAAGGATGAGTTCTAATCTGCCAAAATCGCATGACAGAGGAAGAAAATTATAGTTGATGTTGAGGGTAGTGATAATGGAAGGGGAAGATGGAAATTTTCTTGGGTTGAGATTCCCAACCAAGAGTATACATACTTGTGCGTGGTTTAATGGAACTTATGGCCCTAGACTATGCATATTGGCTATATAAAGTTTAAAAGCACATTGAAGTGCTTGAAACATGATGCTAAACATATTTAGATGCAAATGTCTGCCCAATGATGAATTATGTTTACTTTCACTTAACTCTTGTATATAGGAAAAGAGAATCGATCTTTTTACTACGAATTTATAAGCTGTTTTATGGCATTTACGAGGGAGGGCAGGGGTTATGGTTTTGATTCAGTCCACCTACTTTCTCACATAATTATATGCCAATATGAAACCAAATGGATAGTATTGATGCTTACTATGACTTTTGAAAGCATTATCGAACTTACTTGTTTATAAACAAAAATTTTATGAGGAACTAGAAGTATGATATGCCAATCTAAATAACCATTATAGGAAAACAAAGTTAACCTTTGGACTTGTACAGGTACAATTTGAAAATGTAACTTTTGAGGAAAGTTTCTTTATTTACTCACTAATTTGATTGAAGAATTCAATACATCATAGGGAATAGGAGGGATTACCTTTATAAACAAATGTTTCTAATTGTTTATCTTCGAAATACATTTACCATTTTACCTGTTTAAGGGTTAAACTTCTTTATTTTCAGAATCTGGGAAATGTTGCATATATGCTTCAAGTTTTCGGTTTCTTCTAAAACTATCAAAGTACAGAATGTAAATAAGGTTCTTATTTTGGGTTGCACAATGTATCTTTTCTATGCAAGTAAGGTGGTTTTTCTGGCTATAGGAAGATAAAACAGTAGTAGCCTCTGATATTTACTTTAGACCACTGTCCATTCTTGGTTGCCTCTGTGTTTATTCAGGCATGGAAATGAAAGAGCCAAGCAGGTAGCATTTACCTGCACCCAGATTCGGGATTATAATCAATCAAAATCTACTTCATCAAGAAAGCGCAACTGATTATTTGACATATGCTCCTACTACAAATTTTAAGCATCTCAACTGTCACTTTATATCAATTTCATGGGGTCATTTACTTTTGAAAATTTTCGATGTTGAGAAATCACATTTGGACACACAAATATACACACTTGTTCCATTTGTTTTCCGAATTCTCAACCTTCAATTTGGAGGTGGAGAAGCTAATGTACTTAACATAATGGTAGGTAATATAGTTAGGAGATTGTGATAATCTACTGGCTATTTCTTCTTCTTCTTTTTTTGAATTCCCAATAGCCCTTTTTGCATTTATCTTTGATTGGATACTGTCATTGTTGTTATCGTTGTAATTTGTTTCTGTTTAGGTGGCAGAGTGGGGAATGATGAGTATGTGCAATGCTGAAAGAAGACTACTAGCTAATGCATTGCTTGATATCTCCAATGAATGGTTCATCCTTGTGTCCGAGGCATGCATTCCTGTTCAGGACTTTAAACTTGTTTATCGTCACATATCAAAATCCAAGCACAGCTTTATAGGTGCAATGGATGAACCTGGACCTTATGGAAGAGGGCGTTATAACAAGAACATGGCACCTGAAGTCAACCTCACCGAGTGGCGTAAAGGGTCCCAGTGGTTTGAAGTTAATCGAAAACTAGCTGTTGACATCATTCAAGATAGCTATTTTTACCCCAAATTTGAACAGTTCTGCAAGCCAGATTGTTATGTGGACGAGCACTACTTCCCGACCATGCTGAGCATGCAATCTCCTCATCTCTTGGCGAACAGGACCCTCACTTGGGTGGACTGGTCTAGGGGTGGTCCGCACCCTGCTACATTCGGGAAGGATGATGTTACGGAGGAATTTTTTAAGAACATTATTGAAGGTTCAACATGCAGTTACAATGACAGGCCAACTTCTATTTGCTTTCTTTTCGCAAGAAAGTTTTCGCCAGATGCTTTGGATCGTCTATTAGAGCTTGCACCCAAAGTTTTCCACTATTGGTGAGACATTGTCGACTGAATCAAAATTTTGGAGTAGAGCCAATGGAAGCATCAGTTTTGGTTTTGAAACAACCCTCTTCTTGGTAGGTTGATGAGATTGATCTATGATTGCACCAAGTACATGTACTTCTTATAAAATTAGAACCCCGGTTCAACATGTCGAACGAGTTTGTGGTGCAGCAATATTTTTTTAGGTCTGTTGAATGTATTAATATCATATAACAAAGTTTTCGGTCTCTTTTGTGGAGGACCCCTAACCATATCTCATTCAGATTAATGATTAATTATATTCCATATTAACATCTGATACATTTTTTCCTCAGTCCAATAAACAATGGATCGAAAACCAAGTTGTTGGTTGCATTTAGTCAGGCTCTTCATTTGCTGTTCAGGTTGGTTGATTCCTAATCAAAGTTCATATTAGGTGCTACTTGTAGATGGTCATGTTGCTGCCTCTGAAGTTTCATAAGAATTTATACATGTCCTTCAGGCATGTAGGCTGATTAGTTAGTTTTGGCCATCAACCTATATATGCTGTCCTTGATTAGCATAGCACACACTTAATGTTTGATATTTGAACGTGCGATGAAGGCATTTGATGAGCATATATCGTTGTCTCTAGCACTTAAAGAATGCACCATCTATTTTCACACAGTTTACTGCCCTTTTTGAATGAGGATGCATGAAGAAAATGAGAACATGTAATTAATACTCGTGATCTTTCCCGCTTCCCTTCTCGAATCACTTGGTTTTTACGGTTGTTTAACCACATACTTTAAGGGATTCGATGTTGAGTGAGCCACAGTGCACTCTTTATTCCACATTCTGTATTGCAATTGAGAAGGATTGCATTAGAATCTTATAAATACACACTGCAATGCAGCAGAAGACAGCTTGAAATTTTACTATGCAGTTGTCTCAGTTACAGCAATTAGGCATCATGATTTCGAATGTTAGATAGGACATGGAGAACATCTTGGTTGTATAGAGCGATATATGTTTGGCGAATAAGCTTCACTTCTTGCTTTGTTGACTGCACTAGTGGCTCTAAATGTGTACAATTTACTTTTCTTACTGTTATCATTGATATTTGATAAAACCATATGCTTAATTTAAAATTATTCCTAGCAGGACTCGAACGCTTGCAATATTACTCATAGCTAGGCTCGAACACTCATAGTAACCATATTTTATGGGATGGAGGTGTTTATTTCAAAAATCAAATATTTTCTTTTACAATAAAGAAGCCAATAGCAGAGTAAAGGAATAAAAATGATATTCCAGTTTTAAAGGTGAAAATATAATGGAACATATGCTAACTGTTTCAATGCCAACACCAACACCTAGCTGCCTTTCTTTATTGGTCTATGAGGTATCTTTGATCTCTCTGTTGATGTCAAACATATTGGTGTGGAATAATGGCCAAACTGAAATTAATTACTTAGTCATAATTTTTTTTTTTTTTTTTTTTAATATGACTTAAGCTATTCAAGTTATTCATTTATCATTGATGTAACATATTCTCTAACATTTGGCCTCAGTAGAGGAAAAAATTTGAGCATTTTCACACCCACAGACTAGCTAGAAGAAGAGCCAAATTGCCATGTCAAGCAGAGTCCCAATTAAGGCATACCACTTACCCTTGCTCTTTGGTGGCTAATGAGCATTAGTACTTCCAAGTTCCAACTGACATGGTGTTCTGTCATTAAAATTACAAAGATGGAGACAAAAGGGACCAAATTCCAAGATACATGACATGTATACACGAACCCGATACAACACCGATATGTTGACACATTAAATTTAAAAAAAAAAAAAATAGGACATGGACACACAACTTGAACACTGCTAATATAAATCTGAATTTCGTTTATGTATCTATTGAGTAAGACAATTAATAACTTTAATTAATTTATAATTTTTATACTAAAGTTTATAAGTTAAAAATGAAATTATTAGAATATTAAAAAGAATATATTATATTATATATGATATACTTTCTTATCTTGTTATTATAGTTATATTTTTGTTCACTACATTCTTTGAGATGTATTTAATGTCAATCTTTTAAGAAAAAGAGATTGGACATTTCATGTATTTAAATATATATAATTTCACCGCGTGACGTGTATTTGTTTTATATATGATCATTAGCTAACATAGGATATGTTGGTCAAGTGTTTAAAAATTTGTTAATCAAGTGTGCGAGATGTGTCATCTAAGTTTTTGAAAATAATAAAAATTACTTTTAAATTTCGGACATGGCCGTGAGGTGTCAGACAATTATTTATGAAGTGTCGAGAACACGAGAACACGACACCTCGTAGAAGTGCTCGCACTTCGTAGGATATGATTAACATAAGCAAGGCTTAAAGTTCCTTAACCAGCCCAAAACACTTTAAATAGAATGGGATTGGTCTATTTAAATTAGGGTTGCAAACGAATCGGTCTTGATTTGTTTAGGGCTCGTTTATTAAGCAAATGAATTAAGCTTGATCTCGATTTCTAAGCTCATTTAAAAAATGAGCCGATCCCGAATAATGTTGGGCTAGTGAAGATGAGTTCGTGTAGGCTCATTTTTATTTGTGAATATATATAGACTTCTATACGTTCGTGACCATTGGCTCGTTATAGGACTTATTTATATTTATATTTATTTATTATTATTATTATTATTTATTTTTGAAAATATAAAATAGAAATATAATGATTTATATACTTATATACTACCTATATCCCACATTAGATGTCTATTTCAGTAATTTTGACTCATAAAAATTGTGAATCAAAAATTTTAAAGTGAACAACTAATAAGAGAGGGAGGTAGTACTTAGAATTATCTCTATATGCAGTGACATAATAAAGCTTTGTTAAATCTATGAACAAATGTATGTCCTAGCTAGTTTTATTGCATCTCTTGTATGATTGGCATATATTTTGTTTCTAAAGGGTTACAATTAGTTCATATTCATTTTTGAACCCCAAACTATGTTATATGAGCTCTTCAAAAATAGGTATAATACTCCTTTCAAACACATTTAAAAAGATATATACATAAAAAAAACTAAAAAGAAAAACATGATTGAAATGATTATATTATTACTTCAAAAATGATTGAAAGGCCTAAATTTAACGTACACCATATTATATAAAGACTTTACTTTACTTTAAATATATATATTTGTCACCCGAATTCATTTATCATCAAAACCTGTCTGTAATGGGCATTTTCAGACAACAGGCTAGTAAGACAATGCCCACATATGTAATTTGTGTTCATCAAGCTGATTCCATATCACCTTCCAATAAAAAATAAAAAATAAAAAACACTGATTCCATATCAAAATGCTATGCCGACTAAAATTTTAAAATTTAATTGTTAATTTCATAACCATTTTGGTATAAAAATTGATGCTCTAAAGTTCTGGCAAGAATCAGATGCAAGCAAGATCATTAGAGCATCAATTATTTAGACCGACTAAAATTTTAAAATTTAATTGTTAATTCATCAATTACAAGTATATATTATGAGAAGAATATACCAAAATGGTTATTTCAAAATCAAAAGCAAAATTCTAAGATAGTGGTAGGGTCACGACCCAAAAATTCCAATAAAATCCTCCATTCATTCAAATCAAAATACATCAAAATATACCCAGAATCATAAAAAAGAAAAATTGTTCTCTTTTATACAAAGTCAATTTCCTCAAATACACAAAAAATTCTTCAAATAAATAAAATAAATCATGCAACGCCGACTCTTCAACCTAAGCCCAAATTTAACAATCCACGTTCATCTTCGGTACCTGAAACTGAAACTCCCAGTAGGAAAAATCATAACAAGAATTTTATGGAGGTTTAATAAAACAGCTTTACAAAATATACATATTCATGTGGACATATAAACAAAATACATATATATTTAATAAAAACCATTGAAACAAAATCATTCCAAGCCATTCAAGATATAAAGAACCCTATACTAAAAAAAAAAATTCCTCGCTAAACCATCAAAACCTCAAACATGTGGATATATAAACAAAATACATATACATTTAATTAAAACATTTAATAAAAACCATTGAAACAAAACCACTCTAAGCCATTCAAAGTATAAAGAATCTTATACTGAAAAAAATAATTTCCTCACTAGATCATCAAAGCCTCAAACTTCTGGCCTCCTCTGCAAACTCTCGGACCTCCTGTCTTCTCTCGGCTCACTCACTCTTTCCTCTTATTTTTCTCTCTGTATCTTTGTATACTTAGTGCACATAACAGCTGAATATATAATGCAAATCCACAGACGGTACAACAAAAAAATCAGCCAACAAAACCTACGTGGTTTGGCCCAAAAATCTTTAGTGGATCGCGCCACTATCACCGTCACCTTATCTTCTCAAAATCTCGGCTACTACACCCCCATCGCCTAACCACTAATATCAATTCCAAACCTTACAACCCACGTCAAGAAAATCAAAGTCAAGGCCAAAATAATTTTTGGCCAAACAAATCATCAAGTGGGTCCCGCGGTTCATCACAATCCATTTCTCTCTCACATTGTTTTCGGCTTCCGATCAAAATCCTCTCTAGCACAACAAGAAATATGTTCCAACTTGCGAGTTATATGTGGACACCATTTTGCTACGTGAGTTAATCAAAGAAGGGAAAAGAAAATAAATCAATTTTTGCTAAAGATGTATTAGTGTAAACATACAAAGTTTGCTACGTCACTTAGTCAAAAAAGACAAAAGAGAGTAAGTCAATTTTTAGTACATATATACAAAATCTATACATCCCAATTTTCTCCTTAACAACATTATAATATTTTCCTAATGTACATCCCAATTTTTTTTTAGAATACGGTATACTATTCATCTATTTCTCTTGTTAGGAAAACGTTTGGACGTTAGTCTTGCATCACAATATTTTCCTAACGTACATCCCAACTTTCTCCTTACTAACATCCTAACATTTTTCTAACGTGTATCCTAAACAAGATAAAGCAATAAATAGTGTGATGTTGGTAAGGAGAAAGTTGGAATGTTGGTAAGAGAAAAGTTGGGATATAGGTAAGTCCGTTTTTAATGTAAATATAGAAAGTCTAAACATCCCAACTTTCTCCTTAACAATTTTTCAATATTTTTCAAATTTCTCCTTACTAGCATCCCAACAATTTTCTAACTTACGTCCCAAACAAGATAAAGCAATGAATCGTGTGATGTTGGCAAGGAAAAAGTTGAGATGTTAGTAAGGGAAAAGTTGAGATGTAGCTTAAGTTAGAAAAATGTTGTGATATACAATTTATACAAAGATATGTTTATTTATGTATTTGTACAAGTGGGATGTTGGTAAGGAGAAAATTGGGATGTAAGTTAGGGAGATCAAAGATTTTCGCAAATTGCTTCACTTGTGCGATATTGAGAAAGATTCAGAATGTGATATATAAGAAGTTGTAGATTAAGAAAATGTTTATGTAGAGAGAAAAAAAAGAGCAAAATGTTAATCTGGTTTTGAATTAGTCTCGTATCTATGTGTGTATGTATATACAAAAGTTTTGCTTTTTAATTTTTCACTTTTACGATTTTAACTAGTTGCGCAGGAAAGAATTTTGATCCCTTCCTTCATCCCACGGCTGGTGCATCTTCCTTCCATCAACACATACATTATATATATATATATATATATATATATATATATATAACCAAAAAAAAAAAAAAAATCAAAACCCATTAAATGACCTTTCATCATCAACCATCATTTCAGGCTGCCTTCTTTTTTCTTTCCTCAACCGACATTTTATACAGGATTAATTATAATGACATCCATGTGATTTATCTTATTGATGATGATACTTAACTTATTTTTAGATAATGACACTTCTTGATAATTTGTTAAATTAAAAAGATTGTGAAATGTCTAGTTGCCCCTTATTATTTAATTAATTTTTAATACAAAATATCAACTTACTAAGTTTCTTAAATACCCGTATCATTAGTCTTCGAAAGACAAAACCCAATTCAACTTATTTTGCATCTTCAAACCAATTCTCTCCCCAAATTCCAACATCTCTTTTTCTGATCTTCCATGGTCGGTGATGAATTATTTTCCCGGTGGGAGGCCTAATAAGCCGCTGAAGGCGAGGAGCATGTGGAGGGTGCAGAGGGTTAGTACGAGGAAGAGGTCGACGGTGGAGGGTAAGAATCTGGACTGTTGTGGCCTCCATAAGAGGTGGCTAGCGGTGGTGAAGGGGTTAATAAGCGTGCCGGCGACGATGCTAAGCCAAATGAGCCAACCGACGGCCACATGCTCTCAATCCACGTACTTCTACAAATTACCCAACCGAAAGCTCAAAGACTTACCACCACAATCGTGAGAACTCGCCCACCCCGATTCACTCGATCAACTCGCTCCCACTCAATCCTCTTCTTCTTAGCCACTTGAAACCCGCGGTCGCCTCCGTTACCCGCAGCGGCGAAGGGCACCTTTGCCTCTGTCACGTTCTCCATGTACTCATCTGAAAACCTACTCTTCTTTCTCACCTGACAACTTGAATCGCACTCGCATATTTCAATTATTTGGACCGGTTTATGATGATGATCAGCGTGAGGTGAAGAATGAGAAAAGCAATCCCTTGAATATTTTATAGGTTTTATTTACAGTGGGGAAAGAGAGATCAGATTAGATTGTTGATCAATCACAGGGTGCATATGTGTATGTGAGTCTGTTGATCTAAGATATATATATATATAAAGAATATTTTGGTTCATTGAAATATTTGTAAATGTTAAAATTGTAAATTTATTATTTAAATAAATTAATTCACAAAGGCATTAAGGTCAATTTACATCATGTCAGACCATTAAAGGGGGTCATTGTTAACTTTAACAACTTGAGAGAGTGTCATTATAAAAAAAAAAAGAGACCAAATTTCATTTGAGTGAAAACCACAAGAAGTATCGCTTTCATATATATATATATATATAACAAAACCAAATCCCAGTAATAATCTTCTGATACTCAAATCAACCATCACAATTCTCTTCCTCTCAACTCTGCCAACCCTCCTTAATCTTAATAGACGGATGTCAAATAAATGTACATATAAGTCAAATAAATTGACATCTGTGGATTAAGATAGGGTGGATTAAGATAGGGAGGGAGCAGTAGGTGCCAAAATTGAGAGAAAGAAAATTGTGTTTGGGTCCCACAAGATTATTAGTGAAATTTAATTGAAAAAATTACTAAAGTTATGAGTCATAAATATTAAATCGGTTTTAAAAGTTAATTTTCTATTTTGATTGAATTAAACAAAATAATTACAAATATATCAATATTTATTGCTCAGGTCAAAAATATTCTCACAATCTTATTTCAAAATCTCAAAATATCCTCCTTAAAATTATATAATTTCAATATAATAAAATAAATAATTAAAAATAAGTTTGACTAGTGAATAATAATTCTCTATTACTTACCTTCGTCGTCAATAGCCACCAACGTCCAGGGCATCACCCACCTTCCAGGTCTTCTAGGTCTCCCTCCCTCTCTCTCTTCACACACACATATAAATATAAATATGTTATATTTTTGTTTAGGAGTTTAAGATCTAAGACTCTGTAGGCTTTAGAAGTATGTTATGTCTTATGAATTTAGGGTTCCTCTGGACAACAAAAAAGAAAGAGAGGTGGATATTTTAATACTTCATTACCCTACTGCTATGATATGAAATCCTTAATAAATCCCATTATAGTTTTGGCATCTTCTAATATATTAACAATAATAATAGCTTCTTTTAGGTAACAATTGAAAAATCTTCTATGTGATATACCATTATTGCCATGTAGAGCTTCCCTTTTCAATTCTTACCTTTTACATCAGATGACATCAATTCCAAAAGGCAATCCAATGGCGATGGACGACGAAAAAAAGAGATAGAGAATTTTTATTTGCTAGTTAAACTAATTTATAATTATTTATTTTAATATTTGAAATTAAATAATTTTAAGAAGGATATTTTTGTATTTTATAATAAAAGTGTGAGGACATTTCAGACCTTAGCAATAATTCTTGATGCATTTGTAATTATTTTGTTTAATTCAATCATTGTGAAAAATTAACTTTTAAAATTGATCAATTTGTTATTTAAAGCTCTTAATCCTACTTATATGTAGTTTTCCCAATTTAATTTCATTATATATTTATATATACAAATGTAATAAAAATCAAAATCCAATCAACTCATTAAATAATGGTAAATTTCTAATAACAAATTAAATACTCAATTTTGACTAAAAAAAATCATAGAATAAATATTAAAATCCTAAAATTCCGGTTATCACAGGTAGAATATAGAATCAGATACTGCAATGACTCAACCACTCCCTTGTTCTCTATATTAGCATCCCTCCACTGCAAATAGTAGCCATTTACTTGCCACCTCTCGTCATACTTTCCTTGGTTCACATGGTATCAAACACACAACTCTAGTTCTACAAATATATATATATATATATATATATATATTTATGTTGTTTATACTTGTTAATGCATGTGGTGTATATGATGTGCTGTTTATAGGAGGGTGAAAAGGATCAAGCTGGTGGGAGAAAGAACATAGTTGTCGGACCATGGGGAGGTAATGGGGGGACAAACTGGGATGATGGCAGCTACAACGGAGTGAGAGAAATCACACTTGTTTACGGCCGTTGCATCGATTCGATCCGCGTAGGGTATGACAAGAATGGTAAACCTGTTTTAGCAGACAAACATGGAGGTGTTGGAGGTAATCAAACAGCTGAGGTATGACTGATCTTTAATCCCTTTGTTTGGCTTCATCAATTGATCCTCCTATCTTAATCCATACCAATACTTGACAAGATATTTGCTAGATTCATGAACTGATCATTTTTCTTGTATTTTGCAGATTAAGCTGCAATACCCTGAGGAGTTCTTAACAAGTGTGAGTGGCCACTACTGCCCGCTGGTCCACGGTGGTGGTCCGGTGATCCGGTCACTGACGTTTAAGAGCAACCGGAGAACGTTTGGACCGTTCGGAGCGGAAGAAGGGACACCATTTTCCTTTTCCATGGATGGAGGCAAAATTGTGGGGTTCAAAGGAATTAGTGGTTGGTACCTAGATGCAATCGGCTTCCATTTGTCTAGCTCCCAAACCAAAAAGCTCTTTCAAAGAGTTCAGAATAAGCTTAAGAAACTCACCAATACCAAGTCTTTGGCCCCAAAAGATGATGGGAAGTCTATAGTTACAACCACAAAAGCTCGTGCTTAGGATGTTCTCATGAACCCCTATGTATTTAAATATCTGCTTTTCTATTTAATTAGATTTTATTTTATTTTATTATGTATTGTGTTGGAAGCTACCTACTTATATCTACATCTTGAATAGAAGCCATTTTAAAAACCACACGGCCGGGGCTCCCAATTATACATAAACATAGGTTCATAAACTGTTGGAAAGAAACTGAAATAAGAAATATCACAAGGGAAAAAGGGATAAAAATTATAAAATCTATATACTGTTGTAATCTATATATTGTTGTCCTCATCACATTTAGTATATGAAATAAACGCTAGCTTAAACCATGATATGATCTTGACAATGAACATTCCATTTCACAGACACACACACAAAGGGTGGGTAGAGGTAACTTAATTTTGTTCCAAGGAAGTAGTTGTGCAATACAATACACAAACAAGATGGATCGAGGTTTTGGAAATATCTTAAAGGCACACAAGTTGCTTTAATACCAAAAGGGCTGGACATTTCCAATTTTTCAATCCGTAGGGAGTATAATGGACCCAAAGAAGTATGTGAGTGGGGGCAAATTTAAAAAATAAAATAAAATGTTGTGGGGGTAATAATGAAATTTTTCTATAATTTCAGGAGGGCAAAATTTAAATTTTATAGGTATATAAATAAATAAAAACAAAATTAGTAGCTATAAAATACAAAAATAAAATAAATTAATAATAATAAAAATAATATATTAGGTCCATGCCAAATTAGTATCAAGTTCTTACCCACTTTACACTACGGACATAAATTGCAAGGACAAGCAACTCTTCTTTCTCTGTACATGTGTTTAGTTATCAAATTTTTTCTTTATTCAATAGTCAATTGACTTAAGCAAGAAGGTAAATAACTAACTAACTTTGTGTTTTTTTTTTTTTTTTTTATAATAAAAATACACTAAATTGGGGCCAAGTATGATTTTACATATTATTGTTTTATTTATTAAAATACAGTCATATAGTTCAAGATCTCAAGCCGAGTTTTGATGGATACTAAGATCATCCATAGCCAATATTTTTCAGCCGAGGAATATTCAAGGATCATGACAAGCATTTGTTGTAGTTGGAAGTCTTTGATGGATACTGAGATCATCCATAGCCATTACTTTTCAGACGAGGAATATTCAAGGATCATGACAAGCATTTGTTGTAGTTGGAAGTCTTAGTAGGTTTCCTAGAAGTAGAAAACCAAGGACCCTGTGACTTTTATGCGCACTCTCCCCTCTTAGTTGCCTCAAGAATACTTATAATATTTCATTATATATGCTTTTACACACACACACACACACAAAAGTCATCATTATACAGTACTCCAAATCCTCATAAGTAATTAAAAATTGTAAAAATTAAAAATAAAATAATAATAATATCTAGGGATGTCAATTTTTACCGCCCCGCCGGGGCCCCGCCCTGTTCCGCCCCGTTAATAACGGATATGGGAACACTTATTATACCGTTGGGGTGGACATGGATACAAATTTTGTACCCGTCGAGGGTCACGGGGCGGGTAAGGGTTCAATATATATATCCTAGGGGCCCCGCCCCGCCCCGCCCTGCATATAACTATATTTAATATATATATATATATATATATATATATATATATATATATAGTAATAAGTTATTTTAGCGGCTTACCCAACCCATCTCTTACAATCCTAATTTGGGATGTAAACTTAGTATTAAATTTGCTTTTGTTTTGGTTATGGTGGAAGTTGGAGTTTAGAACTTCTTGTGATTTGGTTGTATTAAATTTTTATTTTTGTTTATTATGTTCTTTGAATTATGTTATGTGCATGTTATTTTTTTTATTTTTGTTAGAATACATAATTTTATTTATGTTGTGTCATTCCTAGGCTTTGCACATTTAATAGCAGGAGTTTAAGTTCCAAAAAGTGGGAGAAAAAAATTTATTAGTGGGGCGGGCACGGGGGCACAGTATTTCCTAACGGGGCGGGGTTGGATATGAAAATTCAACCCGTCGCGGGTCTCGGGGCGGGCATGGACTTGACAAAAATTAAAAGGGGCGGGGCGGGATTTAGGGAAACCTGCTCCAAACCCGCCCCGTTGCCATTCCTAATAATATCTAGTTGTTGATCCATCTCTCCCACGCAACCTTCAAAGTTCGGTCATTACATCATCGGTGACATCCTTTCTCACACTCTGCCCCTTCTCTCTCACTTTTAGTTCACAAATCTTTGAGTCTCACAACGTGTTTGCGTCTCAATCAGAACCAACAATGATAATGAATCAAGTTTCTTAGTTTCCAACCACGGATTTGTCATCCTTTTTAGTTTCGCAAAATTCAACCTTATTTTAATTTCTAGGGTTTAGCTTTTGAGTCTATTTCACCCATTTTTCCCTCTTTTTCTTTCTCTATATTTAGGCTTGGATTCAAGAATATGAATGTTTTTTATTGTTATTTTTGTTGTATATATAATTCAAAGGAAAAAAAATTCAACTAAAACCGTGGAACTGAACCGAACCAATCCATCTTTTCATGGTTTGGGCTGGTTCGGTTTCAGATTTTTTGGAATCATAGGGAATGGTTTGGTTCTAAAAATCTTCAAAATCGGACCAAACCGGACCATGTACACCCCTAATGATAGACCCATAGAAGTATGTGAGTAGGGGAGAATTTTAACAATATATATATATATATATATATATATATATATATATATATATATATATATATATATATATTGTGGGGGCAATAGTGAAATTTTTCTATAATTTTAGGAGGGCAAAATTTAAATTTTATAAGTATATAAATAAAATTTAAAAAAACAAAATTAGTAGGTATAAAATATCAAAAATAAAAAATAAATAAATTCAGTGGGTGCACTTGCTTCCACTGGGCCCATATTAGGTCCGTGATTGAATTTAATGCTTTCCGAGACACTAGTATTAATTTCTAACCCACTTGACCCTATAGCAACATGAATTGCATTGACTAGCAACTCTTCTTTCTGTTTAGTTATCAAAAAATTTCTATATTTAATAGTCAATTGACTTATGCAAGAAGGTAACTAACTTTGTTTTTTTATTTATTTATTAACTTTGTTTTTTTATAATTTTACTAACATACACTAATTTGGGGCCAGATATGGTCTGAAGAATGGAGGCTAAGATTTGCATCGGCGAGGAGGGTGAGAGTGAAGAGAAAGAGAAGAGAGAAATGGGTTTTCCGGTGGTTGAAGGCCATTGGAGTTAGAACGCCGCGGTGAAGAGAGGGTGGTGGTGGTGGTGGTGGTGGTGGTGGTGGTGTTCTGTTACTGCAGTTATGAGTGTTAGTTTGGTTGGATTTTTATACAAGGGAACGCGTTGTAGACTTGGGAAGTCGTTGGACCCAGGGCCGGTTCTGAGATTGAAAAAATCTTGAGAGGCCCTAGGCGAACTTTAAATGTGAGGCCCTCTATACATAAGTTTTACACGCGCAAATTTTTTTTTATTTATAAAAGTGCAAATTTTTCATTATTATTTTTTTTTTACTGGATCAAACTCAGCAATCATTTTAATTATGCTTCAAAAATTTCTATTATTTTCTTCATAAAGATTCTCATTGTCCTCACGGAATGCCAAACTATTTTTAGCAAGAGTTTTCACAACAAAAATTATTCTCAATAATACTTCCCTCCAATGTTCTCTATCTTTGTTAATTTTTTCTTCCACACTTTTATCGATTGTTGCATTTTTTGTAATCTGATTTCTAATTCAATCCAATTCCCCATGCTAACAATGTGTTCACGACTAGTCTCGTGACTTTTGAGTTTGTCCCAAAGATTTTTCCAGTCATTAATTTCTTCATTTGCCAAATGAGTTTTTTGTTCGTCACATTTAAACAAGTTACAATAAAAGGCCCGCGGGGGCCTAGTAGTGATGGTAAGGTGTTGGCATTGGGTAATCACTCTCCAGGGTTTGAGCCTTACCACCTGCTAGAACTTCAACTCATCCGATATTGTGGCTATAGGGCTGGGCTACAATATCCCCAGTTTGGTGCCTTAGGGTAAGGTCCGAAGGGTCTTGTTTTGGGGAGTTTTGGATTATCAAAAAAAAAAAGCAATAGACTCTTTCCAAAGAACTCGAATAGATTAGCCATCTCCTATCATGTTTTTCACCGTTTAATAAGTGTCGAATGTAATATGTAGAAGAGAAATGTCTATATTTTGAATTTTTAAAGAAAATTTTCAAATTTACCATATCTTGGAGGACCTCTTTCAACTAATAAATCTATCATTTTTTTATCAATATCTTTCCAATTTCCTGGGTCATTAATGTTCAAAGGAAGATTATCATTCTCATTCATATATTCTTCATTTACCAAATCTTCAAGTTCATTCACATTTTCTTCATTTTGATTCTCTTTCATATCTTCATTCATTAAATTTCCATGTTTATTAAGAGTTTTTTTCATTCCTATGTTCTTCATTCACCAAATCTTCAACTAAATTCTCATGATTCCTAAAAAAAACTTATGAATAACACCATTTTGAGATTGAATCAATTCTTCTTCTTCCTCTTCTTCTTCTTCTTCTTCTTCTTCTTTTTTTTTTTTTTTTTTTTTTTTTTTTTTTTTTTTTTTTTTTTTCAATACCCAGATTTAAATTTTCTTGTAGACATAATTGTCAAAAATCTTGCAAACTTAGAAATCTAAATAACAGGAAACACAATTAACATAACACTAAACTTAAAAAAAAAAAATGTTTTGCTGAAAGAAAATATAGATTAGCTTGATCTCAATGGCTCAATATGTAATAATATGATTTACAGAAAAACAAAAATATATTTCAAGTGAAGGATTACTGGATTGGAATTTGGAACTCATGTATTACAACAAATTCATTTGTCAAACAATAATTCCATAAGAACAATCGATATAGATTTAAGCTCATCAAAATAATTTTTTGGTTTAAGATTTAAGTTCATCAAAATAACTACTTGAAATCTTGAAGACTTGAATTAGAGTTAGAAGTAAAAAACTTACAGTGTTCAGTGAGGTCACACAGAAGAATAAGATGATGATGATGCAGATGCAGATGTAAATGC